CGATGACGATGACGATGCCTTTTAAGCCTGCATTGGCTTAATTGATTTATTTCTGAGAGGGTCCAGCGTGCGAGAGAGAGAGAGAGAGAGAGAGAGAGAGAGAGACGCCGCACTCGCCCTATTGGCTAACGCGAAAAGGGGGCAGCCGAGTCCTTCCGAAGGACTCTTTCACTCTCCGCAGCCCTTTCTTCGATCTTATCTTCGGAGGCATCGATAATTAGGGGCGATAATTACGGTGTTCCGGCTACTGACCTCTAGCTACCGGTCTTTCGGCGAGGAGAAAAAAGAGGTGCCGACGATAATCGTTCCTAATGTAACGTTGTAATATCACGATGTCCTTGCCGTTGTCATTTTAACCGGCTGCGAATGATCGTTTCGATCTGAATCTTTTTTTTTTTCTTCATCGTTGCGCGCGTTGCATGTCCTTAAAAGTTTCATAAATTCCTACAAATTACTAGCGCGAATGCAATGACGTAACCTTCCGACCGATCGACGCAAAGCGAATGAATGTTATGAATTTTTACGAATCCAAGGCGAACAATTAAAAGCCCATTAGATCCGCCACTTGTTATTAGCGTGGCATATGCTGCGCGGAAAGGTCAAGTGTCAATAGCACGCTATTACAATTTTTAAAGACGCTTGTTTCTCACCTCTCGATTCGTTTTACACACGTACTTGAGCATATTTGTGTTAATTTCATATTATACATTATGAATTTTACAAAACTTTATAGCGGCGAGAAATATGGAAATTTGTTACGCCCATATATAATTTCTCATTAATCATCTCGCTTTTTCTTCGTGTTTCACGATCTATCTCAAAATGTTTATTTTCTCAAGAATGTAACGGAAATGGAAGATAACATCAAAGTATCATAGACATCGAACGGTTCGTCTAGCGCTATTACGTAGGATACTTTGCGGTTTACACAGGAAGGCTCAATAAAAATTTATGGATCTTGAAGAGCCGAAGAGCCGTGAATGATCAGGAAGGTAACTTTTCGGCCGATCAGGACTGGTTGTTATGATTCGATTTTAATGCCGAGTTCACCGGATAATTGTCGCCATTACCTGCACGAGAGGGCACATTTACTGTCATTCATCAGAGAACTCGGGACGGACTTGCTTCGACCTGTCTGTGTCTAAACGGAATCCTGGTTCGTCGACAGGATATAGCAGGAACAAAGAGAATAGAGTAAAAGACAGATGTATCCATTTTCCAGTAGGAGAATAAATGTAAAGGTGAAATCGTGGAAGCCGCGAGTGAAGATGTCCGAACAGCACTAACATAATATAACATTGCATTCGTCATTGTTAAATTAAAAAAAAAAAAATCTGCATTGATTTTCGTTAACCATTTACTAGAAAGTGTTCACCATTATTACAGATACAGTATTTTAGTATAACGAGGTATTTCAGATTTAATTGAGAGAATAATTAATTTTTAAAAGTTGAAATGTGAGTTAAAGCGAAACGTCGGGCACGAATGGGGTATTGGCGGTATAAAATTGCACCGAAAATGTACGGTTCTGGGAGGCATATGGAGCTCGGGAACCGCGTGACTGTTCCACGTGGATCCACGACGGATCGGCATATTTTGTCGGGCCGGTTCCGACGCGGAGAGAGCGGCGGCCCGTACCTTTTTATCGTGGCCGCGGCGGTAGCTGGATCGGCGGTAGCCCTATCGGATGTTTCCAATTTTCTGTTGGCGCTCCTGAAGGAAGAGAGAGAGAGAGAGAGAGAGAGAGAGAGAGACCGAGTCCGT